GCTTTTCCTTTTCCTTTTGATGATTCCTTAAGATAGCTTCTCATGCTTTTCCTTTTCCTTTTGATGATTCCTGCGAAATAGAACAGTTAAACATTGTTATCATTGAAACCTTGGATTTTAACTTAACATTCTTCCCTTTTTTTATGATGACAATCAAGAGAGAATAAACATTAATAAAAACTATAAGTATTAATTATGAAACTTCCCTTTTTTCTAGCTTGATGCTTGCTTCCCTTGAGAGCTCCCCCTGACTTGATGCTTGCTCCCTCTAAGAGGTTGAATTGCTGCTCAAACCTGTTTACTTCTCTTACCTTACCATGTTCTCCCCCTTTAACATCAATCAAAAAGGAAAAAAATAACACAAGCAGATTAATCCAAATCATATATTATATATGTAACCCTTGGGTTAACTTGTAACCTTTATGTACTCGTAAACATCTTGACACTTGTTGTCATACATTTTGTACATGTCTAAAATGAGTGAGCAAATTATGTCACTAAGCATAGCATCCAACTCATCCAAAAGTTAATGATAAATGCAAAACTCGTGTTATTAAAATAAAAGCTTATATTGATCATTTAACATTTTGACGATAGATCAATTTGAGTTCTAGCTTTTTATGATTTGAGACTTCTCGTAGCTTTATTTGGTGATTTATGACTTGTGTGTGTGGTCCTTGTCGATTTTCGAAAGGGTAAATATGAATTTTTAAAAAAAAATTGATTTTTGACGTTGAAAGTGGCTAGAGTTGATCACGGTCAACATTTTTGGTAAACGACCTCGGATTTATTTTTGACAATTCACGTAGGTTCGTATGATGATTTTGTACTTGTATGCATATTTGGTTGGGGTCCCATGTGACCCGAGGTCGTCTTGGCGCTTTATGTAGAAAGTTAAAAATTAAGTTTGAACTTTGAAAAATCTTGAGTTTTGGTGATCGATTCTTGATTCTAGATGTTATTATGATGATTTGAGCCTAACAACAAGTTCTTTTGATGCTAATATACTTGTGTGAATGTTCGGATTGGAGCCCGAGGGGCTCAGGTGAGTTTCGGACAGGCTGCGGACTATTTTGGAATAGTTGTAGAGTTGTTGGTGTTGCTAGGTTGCTTTGTGTGGAAAGTTGAAAAATTAAGTTCAACTTTGAAAAATTTTGAGTTTTAATGATCGATTCTTGATTTTGATGTTATTTTGATGATTTATATACATGCGAGCGAGTTTGTACAATGTTGTTACACTTGTGTGGGTATTTAGATTGGAGCCCGAAGGGTTCGAATGAGTTTCGAATAGGTTGCAGACTGATTTTGGCTTAACAGGTGTTTGCTGGTGTAACTGGATTGCACTATTCGCATTTGCAAATCGCCAGCTCGCATTTGCGAACTGGGATGGGATTGGACAGCTTCGCATCTGCGAAGCTTTGCTCATATTTGCGATGAGGACTGTATTCACATTTGTGACACTGGGGATTCTGAGGGCAGCGTCGCAATTTGCGATTATAAACTTTCTTTCCTTATTCTTTGTGTTTCTTTAGTTTAGTTTATAACTTTGAACACGTTAATTATTTTCTTAATTCAGTTTATTTTATAACTACCTTATTACTGATTTTTGTTTGCAAGTACTGACTTTATTAAAGTTTAGCAAATTTTAAGTAGACTAAGTTAGCGTCTAGATATTGATTTGGTTGAGAATTGAAAAATAAGTTTTTGAAGTTGTGTTGAAAAAGAAATTTTGAAAGTGGAGTTGTGTTTGGATATGCATTTTATATGAAAATAAAAAGGTTGAAGTTTTGTAAATGGAAGAAAAAATTCACCCAAAACAAGTTTCTGGGAAGTTGAAAAAAAAATTTAAATTTTTTTCAAAAACTGATCATATTCCATGAACAAATATTGTTTTCAAAAAAAAAAAAAAAAATAGCCAAATTTATGGCAAGACGGGAGCTAAATAGTTTTTTTGTTAAAGTAAAATTTGTTAAAGTTTGATATTGTTAAATTTCTTAAAGTAAACATATATTTATAATAGAAATATCATGTTAATGGAAATAAATTTTTTGGTCAATTTTTTCCGTCCAACTGTATTAAAAGAATCTTGGCCCCAAAATATTACTCCGTCCACAATAACTAATCTTTTGATATTGGCACACCCTTTAAGAAAATATTAACTACTAAAAAAATAAGTATTTTGACTAAATTATTCTTAATTTTAATTTGTATATTGTTAACTTGAGACATTGGAATATGTAATAAGGGAAAATTTGAAAAACTAAAGTTAATTCATTCTTGAATATGTTAAAAATGACACTTATTTTGAACCAAAATAAAAAGGCAAAAAGGTCACTTATTATGGACCGGAATGAGTATTATATCAAGGGTTTTGTTGTATGAAAGCTTTATCTAATTTAGTGAAAATTTTGGGCCCGCTACTATTAGTAAGGGAATCTTATACAAATGTTCTAAATAAGTCATAACTTACCAACCTCTAGTCATCAATCATAGACTTACTAAAACTAGTCAATCACATATAAAAATTGAAACCACAAATAAATAAGGTCTTTCTCTCCAAGAATTACATGCAAAGATCTCCTTCCATATTTTTAAGCGTGATTGGCAACATTAGATCCAAGACGGGAAAAAAATCATGGATAAGGTAGCAAACAAAGTGATGAAATACAAAAAATTCCAAAAATCTAAGCAAAAAATGACCTTTTTCAATTGGATGGTTGAAATACATTGAAAATATATAGATAAGTCAATATACAAAATTTGGCGAAGATTGGAGGTGATTTGGACTGATTTGGTATCAAAATTCGTAGTTAAAATCGGGTTTAAAAAATTCTTCTGCGACAGGCGTATCAAACATATATCACGCATGATCACACTATAAGTATACATATGATACACATTTGATACTAATATGATACTACACTGATTCCTCAGAAGCCAGAAGCCATCAGTTCAACATGCATGTTTCATGAATTTTTGGGGGGCATTTGCATCTATATCCGCCTTTTGGGTTACGTTTTAACTTGTGCCACTTTACAAAAAAAATTGCAAGTGTACCCACTTTCTCGCGTAACTTCAGCATACGGGGCTGAAGTAGCAAAGGCAATCACACAAAACTTCAGCATTCTAGTAGACGGGCATGAAGTAGCAAGTGTGTTGAACCAACTGTGCTGAAGTTTTTGTTTGTAATTGTTGAACTTAAGCATAGTAGCTGAAGTTTTGTTTTCTATTTGCTGAAGTTTTTGTTTGTAATTGCTGAACTTAAGCATAGTAACTGAAGTTTTGTTCTTTATTTACTGAAGTTTTTGTTTGTAATTGCACTAAATAAGCTGAAGGTTTTTTGTCCTGGATTCATTAGTTTTGTCATTAAGCTTTTTCAAAAACTTCAGCAGAGGATGCTGAAGTTATTTAATTCATTTATAAAACTTCAGCACTAAATAAGCTAAAGTTTTTTTGTCCTGGATAAGCTTTTTTAAAAACTTCGGCAGAAGATGCTGAAATTATTTAGTTCATTTGTAAAAACTTCAGTACTAAAAGCTGAAGTTTTTTTGTCCTGGATTCATTAGTTTTGTCATAAAGGTTTTTCAAAAACTTCAGCAGAAGATGCTGAAGTTATTTAGTTCATTTGTAAAAACTTCAGCACTATATAAGTTGAAGTTTTTTAAAAAGCTTCCTAACATACTAGATAAATAATCAGATTGTCAACAGTATCTAAATCATAAATTTTGGAAACAATAAACGTGAAAAGAACAGAATTATCATTGTCTACTAACTTACGTACGTGAAAATATTCACAAATTATTGTCCACTAACTTACGTAATTATTTATAATTTATTTTAAATAATCTGATAAACATATTTATAGCTAATCTCATGAACTGAAGTTTCATAGCAGCGTCAACAGCAACAGAAGAAAGAAGAAGAAGAAGAAGAAGAAGAAGAAGAAGAAGAAGAAGAAGAAGAAGAAAACGAAGGAGGAGAAGGAGGAGGAGAAAGGAGCCTGAAGTTGTTTAAAAAGTGGATACAAATTAAAACGTTTTGAAAAAAATAGGTATAGCTTAAATGGGAGCGATCAAATAGAGCGGCCCATGCAATTTTTACAACTTTATCAAAGATAGCAAGGATTGTTTAGAACTGGTGTGTGAATTCATTGGCGTCGGTAACAATTGGATGTTTCAAATTAGTAACTTAGTATTTTCATTTATCATTATGCTACTGCTACACTGTATTTGGTAGCAATAGCAATTGCCTTACTTTGTTTCATTATTTTTCTTTTACCTGAACAGAGTGTAACTTTGGCCCAGTTTGGGACTTAGTATATACATATATATATATATATATCAGCTACTAGGTGAATAACCTAGTATTATATTTATTAATATATATATATATATATATATATATATATATATATATATATATATGATACATATGTGATACACAAATGATAAATACCCAGTAGTATTTTTTTCATGTTCATCTTCTACTTCGAATTTTAAATTCAAACCACCTCAAAACTCCATCAAATCATCCCAAAACTGATATTCGAACTCCTTAAAATGTACTCAATCTATTCTAATAACACCCACTCAAAAGAAAGCAAAATTTGACCTTTTTTTTTTTGCGACAAATAACTAATTGGCTAATATTGTTAACATTGTGCTAATATTGATAATATTTTATGAATTAGCCAATTTTTTTAATAAACTACTAATAAATGGACATAGTTGGTAGTATTCATGTTATCAACCCTCTTGAACATGGTTTCTTGGCTTACAATGTTAGTTATTGATTAATTTGTTATTCACTGTACCAAGATGTGATACAGTAATACTGGATTTGTGATCCATAATCAAAACGATTTCCACTTTACTAAAGACTGGCTCAAACCTTTTGTGTATTAAAAATTATACTAAATAAGTACCAAAATAGAAGTTCAAATCCTAGATCTATCTTTGCTATATAATAACCTACAGGATAAAAATCATCCATCTCCCTTATCAAATCACTAATACAAAAAAGAGATTTGATATCGCAACGAAAATTAAGCTAACATCTAACACTGAGGTGGCACTAGGAGAATGATCCTCCGTTGGTGCATCAGCAGCAGCAGGAGTGTCTGCAGTTGGTGCATCAGGCTTAGGTGGGGAACCAGGCGCATGTGGAGTCGGTGAAGGGGAAGCCTCTGAAGGGGTATCTGCAGCCGGTGGCTCTGGCTTAGGTGATGAGCCAGAGCCGGGGGCTGCAGAAGGTGAGGGTGTAGGGGTAGAAGTTTTATTAGGCGAAGGAGCAGAGCCTGGTGATGGCGCGGAGGAATTATTGCTTGTGCTAGGTGAAGGAGCACGATTAGGCGATGAAGACGGGGAATTAGCTGATGAATCAATCCCCAATGGAATAATAGCATTGCTAATTTGCAAGATTGAAATGTTATAAGGTTGTGATGCGACGGACTTCACTAGATTTGATCCAAGTGTTGCACCTTTTGCAGCTGAGCCTAATGCAACACTACCACTGCCTAAATCTGTCACATTCAAATATCCTTGATCACTATTGGCTTGGCCAGTGGTCTGAAATAGAGTTGGAGCCTTCATGGTTTTATTAGGTAATTTTTGCAACTTCTGGACGTCATAATAGTCGAGCAAGACATGCACGCGCATGATATTGGCGAGCACGTCTTGTGACTTCCCCGAGAGGGGTGACAAGTTGCTGTTTTCGACTACTAGGACAGTGATCGTTTGCCGGGAGTTGATTGCGGAAGCAACTCCGGTTTGAGTGAGGTAATTGTTGAAATTGCTAAATGATGAGTATTGATTAAGAAGATTGGTAATGTTGAATGCCTTGGCATAGCATAAAATATTGAGGAGGAAGAAAAAGAATAGTAGAGAAGTGTTAAAATTATTCATTTGGATATAAAATAGTGTTTGATTGTAGTTTCAAAGTGTTGTGTTGTTGAATTTTTATATTGAAATGAGAGGACTCGGTTTTTGTGGGGAGAATTCATTTGCGCCTCTTTTAGAGGGAATTGGTTTTGTTTAGGAGTGGATAGGAGAATATGGTGGAAGAGCTTATTCATTGTTTTTGTGCCATTTGCCATACTTACAGCACCCTCTTGTCTTAATGTTCTAAGATAAGACTAAAGAAGATCCTTATAAAAGCAACAAAGTCTCTTATGTGATTTTTTACTTTTGACTTTAACTAGGAAAATTACGTTCATATCAAAGAAAAAGTCCTTTTGAAAAAGTTGTTTTAGGTTAACTTACGGAACGTTTTAAGTTCTATGCATTGTTAGTATTAGCTGGTTATCTCATAAAAACGGTAGGAGTAATTAACATGTTATGAACTTATGAAATATTAAAACTACATTGTTTGTGTTAAAAGTTTTTGCACTATCATTTGTATATATCTTAAATCCTACAAATAAACGTAGTTACGTAATTCTCCTGAAACAACTGAGTCTTTTATTTTTGGAAATCACTGGAACTTTTAAGCATTTGTTTCCACAAAGAAAACATACAATATCCATTAGCTTTACATTAACAGTGAAATTTTGCGTCTATTACAATAGATTCTACAAGTCAGGAAGCAGTGACTTGTGGAAGAATGTTTGGAAGTCTTCCTATGTCTATGGACTTTGATACAATTCCAAACCTTTCATTGTAAAAAAATGCATTTCTAATCAAAAACTAAACCAATTTGTATAATTTTAGTTTTACTTTTTCTAAACATTTTGTATATTGTAAATTTAGTCCTTGAAGACTAAGAAATCAAAGTTTGTTTAGTGCATGTTAATTTGACATCCCTATTTATTCCCACTGACTTGTAGTCTAAGGGTGCATCTTGTCCCTATCAAAATAACAAGGGACTAAGGCCGTCTTGTAGAGAAAAGACTAAGGCTAAAAATTGTAATAGAGGACCATCTACTTAACCAAACAGTAAACGAATACTTCAGAAGTTAAAAGATATTACATGACTTCTGGAGGCCTCTATCGAACAAAAAAGATGGCTTTTGAACTGAACTATCACTGGAAAATTTTACTAAAATATTATAATAATCTTATGTTCAAAAATTGGTGGACAAATTAAGATGACTTCTAACGGGATACAAGTACTTGGATATTCAAGTGTAATGATCTTCTACAGCATTCTTGTTAATAACCAGTAAGGGCAGCGGAACTGGAGAATCTGGGCCTCATCAGTCGATCTTCACAGACGAGTAAATAAGTCTTGTGAACCAGAAGCATGCATAGAAACCGATGGTACCGGTCAGAACGAAAAATGCATATGAAGCAATCAACATGTAACCAAAGTACAAGATCCCAGAAACAGGCTTAGTGATGTCAAGCTTAGTGAAGAAGTAGAAGGTAGCATAAAGGAAGAGGTAAAGTGCGGACGAGCCTGATGTCAGGTAGGATCTCCACCACCACAAGTAGTCCTCGCTGCATAACTGGAAATAGCATAGTACGATAGTTATCTCGGCACAGGTGACAATCAGAATGACAAACACGATGAAGAGGAAGCCGAAGAGGTAGTAAAATTGGTTCAGCCAGATTGAGGTAAGAATGAAAAAGAGCTCAATGAAAACAGCTCCAAATGGAAGTATGCCTCCGATTAGGACTGAGAAGATGGGGTTCATGTACCAAGCCTGCTCCGGGATCTGCCTGGGTATTTTATTCGTCTTCACAGGATCCTCAATGGCTGGCTTTCTAAAACCAACATAACTGCCCACAAACACAAGAGGGACTGAAATTCCGAACCATAAGAACACCAACGCAAACATTGTTCCGAATGGCACAGCCCCAGATGATTTTTGACCCCAGATGAGTGCATTTAGAACGAAGAAGATGGCAAAGACAGTAGCTGGAAACAGAAAAGCTGTCCTGAGAGCAATTCTCTTCCATTCTGTACCTTTAAATAACTTATAGAGACGGGAAGCAGAGTAGCCCGCAAAGAGTCCCATGAAAACCCAGAGCAAGAGCATAGCGGTCATTAGCCCACCCCGATTCGAAGGGGAGAGGAACCCAAGGACAGCAAACATCATGGTCACCACCATCATACCGACAAACTGTACACCAGTTCCAACATAGACACAAAGCAAATCTGAGTTACTTGGAGGCCTGAAAACATCTGCGTGGACTAGTTTCCATCCAGTTTCTTCTTGTGCCTCCTCCTGGGTCTCCAGTTCATTGTACTTGGAAATATCGCGATAAAGTGTTCTCAGCATTATCATCGCCACCATGCCTGATAGGAAAAGCACAATCATTAAAGAATTTACTATCGAGAACCAATGGATCTGATCATCAGCCATCAGAAGATAGGCGTCCCATCTCGACGCCCACTTGACATCACTCTCCTGTTACAAACCAAAGAATCATATAAAATTAGTTTTATATAATACAAAACTCCTATAGTAAATCTCAAAAGGTTGAACATAGAAGTCATAACACATAAACTTATAAAAAGGACTAGTAATGATCAAATTGAGTGGCCATATCTAACAAGATTCAAAAAGTAGCTTACCTGGAATTCAACATCATATGTAAATATGATTTCTTGGTTAGTCTCAACCTCTTGAGGAGAATTTGAATTAGATACAGTCCGCTTTGCATGTGGATCACATGTTGTTAAACGAGTATTTTCAGTCCATTTTCCATCATATTCATGCTTAACACTGGAAATATAATCAGCCATGTCAGTTCTTTTGCACCAATAGATTAAACAAAAAGAGCAAACAAAATCATACACAAATTGCTATGCCTCAACCAGTGAGTGCTGATGGAGATATAGGGTATCCTTGAAAACAAACCTGAATGGCATGACTTCAAATCCCACAATTCTGGCTGAATCTGTCTGCAAATCTTTATGGTACTTAACAGTGAATGTCAAGTGGTTATGGATGAAATGCTTCTCATCCTTGCTCTGCAGGCAGTCACACATAACAATTCAGTGGATTACAAAATTTAGCACTTCTACACAGAAACTCAGTTCTCCATAGTGTTATGGAATATATCCTTACCCCAGCATATTGTCCTTTTACACCGATATAAACTCCCTGTTGATAGGCAGGAGGGGCTTCTTGCTCTAACCTCCGAACTGGAACAACTAAAGGCAGATTATCTAGGATCCTAACACATGAATCCAGAAGATTGTTAGGAAGAGTACTTAAGAAGAGTACAATCCAAAAGTTAGGAAGATGACAGTTTTCTCAAGCAAATAATTGACCTACATGTTGACACGATATTCATCTTCAATTTTTTCTTTAAATTCCTTAGCAGTCTTGTCATCAAGTACAAGCCTACAAACAACATGGCACATCTCTGGTTCCCTCATTTTGAACTGCAATAGAAACATACAGCTAAAAGAAGTCAGTTGCCATAATATAATAAAAACAAATAAATCAAGTGGTAAAGTAGATTACACTGACCGTATAAGGGGAGTTCTCAATTCGATCACCACGAAGCACTTCTCCAAGATTTTCTCTGCTATCCACTATATTTTTTGGACGACAGAAAGGAACAGAGTAGAACGAGTAAGGAAGCTGAGTCTTTGTAGAAGTCAGCTTGTTCACTTTCACAGACAGAGGATCTCCCTGCAACAAACATCATCACCATCCAGGAGTCAGAAAAATTTATGTATTTCCTTCTTTTAGGGTTAAGTAGAATCTCTCTACAAATATTTTATAATATATATATATCATAACCCCCCACCACCCTGTCCAAAAACTTGTTAAAGATCTTTCCCACAAAACAAAATCCATGTATACGTTATCCAGCTCACATCACCTGCCGATGAACCAAAAAGGTATGTTTAATATACTTTTGGGCATAATTTGACCTAGATTTTGTGAGATGATCACAACTCTATGTGATCTGCTTATATACTAATACACATTCTTCCAAGGGAATTAAGTTGACATTTTTCACCATACATACCATTCCATAATAAACATGCATGCTAGAAAACATGTCGCATTATCAATCAACAACACACTTCTACAGAAGTTCATGTTCAGAATACAATAGAGAATGGAACTTATTTCGAAGCACATCAATATCAATTTGGACAACTGAAAGGAAGAAAAAAGAGGGAAGCATCTAGTCAGAATCATGAGAGGGTCCCCCAAAATAACCTGACAATACAAATCACGTAGGTCAAAATTTACTAGCTTCCTTCATGACAGAAAGCCTACTAACTGATTGAGCAATATTGACTTGTGTTTCAGGGGACATTTTCAGATTGCATATGTAGTCAGAATGAAAGCCGTAAAGGCAAAGTAAAAGAAATATGATGTTGTACAATAAACCCTTTCTCTTGCTATTTAATCAAGTACTAATTCAGCATCCTATAAACAAATAATATATATATATATAAGACCATGAGTGTGGTCTGGCATTGAATGAAGCTAGAGTGGACCACGGGAGAACAGAGTTTGCAGTAGAGGCAGACAGAGTTATCCAATACTTTTCATGTGGTAAGCAACAGGTATCCTGTGGATTAGGTGAGATGCGAACAAGTAAGCCGCGACACAAATGTGATCAAAAAAAACATACATATATCTCCCCATACCCAAATAGATTCTACTGTATGTTTCCCG